CGATGAAACAAAATAACGAATCATCGTGTATTAAATTTATTTATCATATATTTACACATTAAATTAAATGACTACAATCATCACCCCAGGTGGCGAAATATTTGTAATCCTCTTCTTTTCATGTCTTCAAGTAAGTTATTTGGTAATTCCAGGTTCTCTAAATCTTTGTTCGTCAAAAATTTAGTTCTTATTTGCTTCAAAATAGCTTCCATAGAAACAGCTTTTAGAGACAAATCTGGCGAAATGCAGAAAAATATATAAGTAACAAAATATCGGCCGCATTTGATGAGTTGACATAATATTGATACTTACTACGATAGAATGGAAGGATCGAAATCATATTTACTGTGTCACTCTTTTGCATGCTGACATATATTTTTCTTTCTTGATGGAATTTATATGGCGTTTTGTAGATAATCATTCCAGATATCAGAAATACTTCAGATATTAGATTTGGTGTATGGATGTAAAATATGCCTATACGATTATTAAGTTCCTTTTTCTTATTTTGATTAACTGAGTATTGGAACATATGTTTAATTAGAATGTCACGTATAGCGTACATGTCTCCTGGCGCGATTCCTGAATATTGATGTCTGCAAAAGTCATCTAGAACAATGAATAGTAAAAGAATAATGTATAATACAATGAAGAAACACAATGCGCTTCCAGTACTAAATACTAAATACGTCTGATTTGCCATGCATATTCATATTAGAGCTAATGAATAGCATAACATCATGTAATATCCATTCTTATGGAAATATTAGGCTGTACAGATTAATACTATATTACTACTATATTAATACAGATTAATACTATATTAATAGTATATTAGAGGCATAACACAAATATGATATTCAATTGTTGTAGAACATGCTTTCCCTGTATAGTTTTAATAAATAGAAATACGAGAATGTAGATACGAAAAATATTACTGTTAAACTTCTTTGACAATAGAACGTACTGATTTAAAGTCTATTATACAAGGTGGGAGCTCGAAAGTTCCAGCCAGACACTAAGATTTTACGGGAAATTTAAATTTAAACAATAAATTTCCTATAAATGTGTAAAAAAATATTTAGTTAAAAAATTAATGTCCAAAAATCACGGTTTATATATATTTTTCCAAATATCTAGAAAAAAATGGGTTGCTTAATAAAAATACCGAAACAAAATTTGTAGAGAATTAAATTATCTTTCAAATAAGATCAGCACAATTGTAATACGGTACATAGGTTTTGAGATAACCAGTTTCAAGCGTACAAAAAAAGTGTTCTTTTCGGTTATCAACGAGAAGGAGAGAGAGAGATAAAGCTTCTTAAAATATTCTTCATTTATGCTGTTATAATTATAGTCTACGCTGTAAAAAATTAATTAGAAAGTACTTACAAAGGCAGAACGGCATCTCTGAGCGTTATCTAGGAAGAGGAGAGTGTCGTGAGCGTGGAGTGTCAGGTAGCTCAGTGGTTTAGAGCAGTCGCCCGGCAAGCGAAAGACCCGGGTTTGAGTCCCGGCCTAGCAGGACGCGCTCTCGATATTTTTTTCTCTTTCTGGAACGAAAAAAATACGCAGATCTCGAACGCACGGCGTCCCGCCGCCACCTAGTATGCTCTCCTCCTTCTATGGCTGACACTACGCATCATAGTCTGCCGGTATACGGATACTGGTTTATATCTTCTTCTGCTTCATCATGTAGAATCTCATAAAGATACTCAGGAGCTGAAACAATGAACAATAAAAGAATAATGTTTAATTCAGCGAAGTATACAATGCGCTGCCAAATACTAAATACTAAATACGTCTGATTTGTCATCCATATATTTGTCATCCAGATATTAAGATTTTACAGTAAATATAAATTTGAACAAAAAATTTTCTATAAATATGGATCGAAAAATGCTTCCTTAAAAAAGTAACGTCCCAAAATCACGGTTTTTATACATTTTTGCAGATATATAGAGAAGTATGCGTTGTTTTCTTTCAAAAATATTAAAACAAAATTTGTAGAAAATTAAATTATCTTTCAAATAAAATCAATACAATTGTAATACGTTAGATAGGTTTTGAGATAACCAGTTTGAAATATAAAAAAAGTTTTTTTCGGATAGAGCTTTTTAAAATACTCTTTATTTATGCCATCATAGTTATAGTTTACGCTGTAAAAAATTAATTAAAAAGTACTTACTGTAATAAGGTCTCACAGCAAAATGCCTCACTCGTTTATCGTGTCTGCGTTTGTTACACATTGGATAAATTTTTTGGTTTTAATTGAATTTAATATTTCACTGTTATTCATATTACTTATATTAAGATATTGATCATTTCCTTAGATTGAGTGAAAAAAATTTTCAAGTCTTCTTTAAATTCACAACACAATAGCAAATATTTATCGTCGGAATATATTCCGTCTTCTCTTCCCTCTATGTTTAAAATAAACACCTCGAATGGATGTAGCGGCTTCAAGCGAATAATATTCGGATTTCTGTTTTTTTCCCAGGGATGATATTCCAAACCGGAATGTATGTTTGCAGGAATTTCTTCGGCACGATCCATGTTAGTTTGGAGATAATGGTCTACGATATAAAGCTTAACAGTGAAGATTGTTTAATTAACATAATTATTGAATTCAACATGAAAATAGGGATTTCAGTATGAGAGAGAAAACATTGATCATGTGGTATCAATTCATTTTAAGGTAAGAGATATATAATATATAATCGGTAAACGTATATATAGAATACAGTTTCAGCATTGAAAGCTGCGCAACGACACATATCGATCCGACAATTGTCGATAAGAATTTATCTTGAAGCCGTTGTCTTCTTTTAATGTTTATGAAGAAAATCTTAATGTATAGCAAACTTTTCAAGTCATGCTAATTTCCGTAAAGCTGGATGTCTTTAATAGTATTTCATTAATGCTAAAGTGCGCAATTCGTATTCGAATCTTTTCGATTCGAAATTTTCTAATTATTCGGATTCGAATCATAGGGATTTGATTCGAATTCGAATAGTTCGCACATCTCCAGTCAAACTAAATAAAAAAATCCTCTACCATTTTCCAAATGACCACGTACACGTTTACTTACTAATTAAAGAAGTTTATGTACTGCGAGGAGTATTCCTCCACTTACCGCAAAATACCACCCTCCCACGCTCCGCTCGCGGAACTCAAGATGTTGGACGCCAGATGCGAAGCAGACCACACCACTTTACCGAATAATCGTTACTCAATGCTAATTCCAACGCAAAAGATGGCCGAACGAGTCGATACAAGTCTGGTAGGTCATCTCTTTGTTCCGAGATTGTTATTGTTGTCCCGTAGCCAGTATTCTACAAAAAATCGAAAGACGAATATAAGGTCGGCGGCATCCAAATTCGGAACGACACGGCATTCATTACTGTCACTAACATTTGAATAATGAGGACTCACTCTGGTTCTCTGTGGGGTTTCCCAGAGAGAAAGCTCTTGTCCCACGCTGTGCTTCCATGTTTCCTCACTCTCGACCTCCTGTTGTCAGTTTCGGGAGCCGCGAGGACACAGGTATTCGGGACGCGCGAATCGCTAATCTAACGCGAAAATCCGAATGTTTCCGATAGCTACGCCGATGGTACGACACATAAACACTATCGGAAACCGCTATCGAAAATGTAAATATTCGCACGAATTTCTCGCGGCTTAGCCCGAGCGATCACTAAGAAATCAATCTAATTTCTTGATTCGACAGCTTAATCCTCTTGTGACGTGCAGCTGCACCACTGCCACGTCACAATACAGTTGTATGCGATAATGCACCAATCTTTTTCAACTAATAACTAAACATCTACGTGTCATTTAGAAAATGAAAGAAAACTTTTTTGTTCAGTTTGATCTAATATACAAGCATACAACGGCAAACCTCGCCATCGCAGCTCATCTATCTTATCACATTTGATCATTCGCGAATCTTCTTGGATTAAAATTTTACGTAGTTGTTTGAAAAATGACGTGTACAATTTTTGTTCACTTTTATGTGTTCTACTTATATTTTTCTTTTGGTCCGTCTTACACGGGACACCCTGTATAAAGCCTTATACTTCCTAAACAAAAGTACCATGAGTTTATAAGGACATGAGTTTAAATGCCTATAATTGCTGGAAAATAATAATTTATATTCCAGCTATATAACATTTCAGCAATATATATAACAGCTATATAACATTTTAGTAACACGTTATATTTCTATTATATAACGGCAACTTCGTATGAATGGGGAATTATAACTAATGTGTATATTACATGTAACAAACATGTTATATTGCACGTTACATCCCGTTATATTACAACGATGTAATATAACTGTTATATTATTGTGTTTGCTGGGAAGATTATATATTTTAGGATGGAAATCGTCGAGTCGCAGTAATGATCTTACTTGCATGTGAGATACGCTTTGTAGTCGAACACGTCCGTAGGAGAAAATCGCAGGGTGAATTTTGCCGATTCACCCGGCAGCAGGATTCCCTTTTCGGGGTAAATCCCAAACGGCAAATCGTCACTCTCTAACCAACTGTCGCTACTTCGCTCTGTCAATCCGGCACTACTGCTGAAGAGATCGGATGGATCGTGGGCGCTAGCAGGTAGTTTTATCTTGACGATATCTTCTGCAGAAATAACGACATCCGTTGTCGTGATTCACGTGTAAGACGAAAGCTTTTCACATACAATAAAACGAATATTAAAACGAAATGAGCTCTATTAACTTTGACGGTAACACCAAGCGCCTCCAAGACGTACTGGTGTAAATTTCTAATTTACTTTCAAGAACTCTTTTCTCTGTATTTTAACTTGGAGTAGAATTTCCGAACGCAGTATATAAGAAACAATAATGACATTATAATGTTGATTAATGCGTCGATTTGAGAAAGATATTATAGAAATGAGCTTTTAAAGAATTCTTTAATATGATGTCATATTAATGAACTCTTTAAAAGCTCTTGAATGTGAGTTTTTCAAGATAATCTGAAAAATAACATTGTTCTTTCTTTAAAGTGTGATTGTAACGCGTAGAATGAGTAAAGGACATAACAAGAAAGACAGCCATGACGGAAATAATTTATTGAAAATATAATGTAGATGCGTGAAAATCACGTTAAAAGTGAAAAGCAAGAAAATACACAATAATTACATAGCAGAATACCACTTGTATCCAAACTCGGTCTTTTATTATACTTTTGTTATGTTTTTGTTATGTTTTATAATATTTTCGTAAATATTCTTTTATTTCATGATTGAATCGAGTTCTTTTATTTCATGATCGAATATACGCTCAAAGAAAAGAACTCTATTTGCTATTTCTTGTAATCCCATTTTCTGTGCAAAACCTTTTACCAAACATATTTCTATTCTAATGAAAGAGAAAGTGTGAACAATTAATCGAAAATTTATGAAATATTATTTCAACCCTTTTTTTAATCAAAAGGAATATGTTTGCTTGAAGCAGAATGTCCTTTTACGTGCGATACGACAGACGCGACTAACAAGATTTATTTTATATAATGTATATGATAATAATATCTGTGTCTGTATGTTCTCTATTAACTCTTAAACCCTTTGACTGATCTGAGCCATGTTTTGCGTAGTTACTGTCTAGAACTTTGCAAGAAATATAAGCTACCATGAAATCTGGACATCCTACTTCTTCCCTCTAATTTCATCTTCTTGACATTTTGTGATAACCTGGACAGTTTAAGGGTAGTTTAACCCTTTCGTCCTGAGTAGTATACATATTCAAGGATGAAAAGGTTAAGCTACTCTCTTAAAGTGAATCAGTGAATAGTCACTGATATCAGTTATAAGTATAGCACTGAGCAGTTTCAGTGCTGTACTTATAGCTGAAAATCAGTGTTTATTTACTGCTTTCAATGATGTTTCACTGATTCACTTTAAGAGAGTAGTTGTAGATAAAAAGCGAAATTTCTCTAACTTTAACAATATTGCAGTTAGAATACTTTCCTTTTGCTTTTAGAAGCATCCTTTTGAGATCACGTATATATGTATAAGAATAAAGTCCTCTGGGACTCAAAGGATCCCGCACTGAGGATGAAATTATACCTTTCTAGATTCCACATTTTTTAATTACCTCGAGATGACGTCAGACATCGTCGATTTAATTTAGCGCCTTTATCGTTTAGCTCCGCCGCGTGATATTGATCAGGTCGCTGGCGAGACTCATGAGTGTGTACCAACGAGTTAGTCGCAGATCGCATATCTCCCTGTGGTCCCAGCGTGAGTCGCGAATAATTTGCGGTTCGTCTCATCGGGTACTGCTCGTCCATATTTATCTGCCACATGTACTCCACGTCGACCGCACCAGTATTCGAGAAGGTGAACACGTATTCGCGCGTCTATCAATTAATAACATGTCAAAGGTAATTATATCGAATTATACCAAATAATTGCCGATTTCATGCTGCACTTTGTACAAATTTTAAAATCTGCTAACAGACTCTTGTTTGTTTCTTTATTTGCCATCCTTTTCGCAATATGTCGGAAAGGAAGAGAGGAGCATCACACATGGTGCGCGCCTGGAGAGGAAACGAAGGCAAAACGGAGACTGAGTTTTACTCTCCCATGAGGGAAATTCATGTATTACGCCAACCTCAACCGAAAATTGTTAGAATGCTGCACACGCGTCAGCTGTAATGTTTCTTTTGGTTTTCACGTGTAAACAACGGCCGGGATTGCATCGGATATAAAACCAACAACGACAGTCTGTATTTTATCGCTTGTGTCCCGTGACGGTTATGACGCGATGCTCGCGTACGCATCGATTCAAAAAATCTCCCCATTATTATGAACAAATATTTAAACTCGATATACACGAGCAATCGTGAAGTTATTTATATAATTCCTATTTTGCTCTCCCGACGCGGCCGGGCACGCGCTACAATCACAGCGAGAAATCCTGCGACCGATGGTCGAATCGCGTCACGCAACACAGGAGAGAAAATTGACAAACAGAAAAAAATGCAAAGTTCGGTGTATTCAAAATATCAATGTTTTTCTAAATGCGGTAAGAGAACAAAGAATTAAAAATACGAAATATAATTAGCAGAAATATCCTTTCTTCACGTTAATTTGATACTAGAATGCTCGACTCTCCCTCTTTCGCTACATGAAACTAAGTCTGTTTTACACAATTATGTAAAAAAAAATAATGTGGCTCATGTGTGTGGACAGAGTCCTCTAAATAAATCGTGTAGTGAACGTATTAAAACGTAGTAAACGTGTTTTCGCAATGCACTGACAATTAAATAAAGAGTCGAAGTAACTCTATTAGACATTCAAGTTATTATCATAAACATGTTAAAACTCTAAATTTTAATAAGAAATAAGAAGATTATAATTTTAAAAATTCGATCAAAAGGATAATTATTATTAATTAGCGTCAAAATGATAAAGTCTAAATTATTCTTATGGAAAGTCGAGTGACTAAGATAAAACATCCAATCCACCAAGCCAATAATTGTTCCGATCTTGTGTTGAATAGGATGAAAAGACAAATAGTTTAGATACCGATCAGAAAACGTTGGTTTATGATACCAGTCGAAAATAATTGCTATTACGTATTAAAATTTGACAGCATCTGGTTATGATAAAAAATATTTTACCATACCGTTTTTTGGTGTGGTTTTGAACAGACTGGCAAAGCTTTTTAAAAATAATTTGACAAATATTGCTTATTCTTGCAATAATAAATTATCAGAAATGATTCGTGTGCATAACAACAGGTTGCCTCCTGGTTTCCATAATAACGTTGTGTATAAATTGCAGTAGTTGTGAGGCGTCGTATGTTGGTTAAACTAGTAGAAGACTCTCTACGCGCATTGCTGAGCATAGGAGAATACCA